AATACATATTTTTCCTGTAGGGCCCTACTAAAGAAACCAAACAGCTCGATATAAAATTTTATATCGAGCTGTTTGGTTTCTTTAGTAGGGCCCTACAGGAAAAATATGTATTGGCGAAACTGGTGAAAGAAAATTGAGCCAATGCATATTTTTCCTGTGAGGCCCTACTAAAGAAACCAAACAGCTCGATATAAAATGGAGTACCGTCTGCAAAGCATGTATAATCATATGGTAGGGCGGACCGCGTCAGTTGTCTCTCCCTTCTATTCCTTACTCCCTGGCTACGCCCCTCCCTGAATCTGTCAGGGGGTGGGGTGAACGTCCCCCCCCCTGTTTAAGAATATTTTTTGTTCAATAAAAAAATTATGTCATAAAGTAAATATTCGTCAAAATAAGCACGCAACCTCGTATGAGTAGCTGCAAAAACTATAAAGGAGGCTAGGATAAGACGTGACATATTTTCAGATTTGTCTCAATTTTTTTAACAGCATCCCAGTCCCCTTAGGAACTTCGTTCCGCTTATTGCCATTCAAATTTCAAAATTTCGTTTTTTTTAAGTACCCTACAGTGGGCAGAGAAGGAACAAGATATTAGTACACTTGGCGCGGCGGAACATTGGATCCGCCATTATTTAATCCCAGAAAAGGAACGAGATATTAGTACACTTGGCGCGGCGGAACATTGGATCCGCCATTATTTAACCCCAAAGAAGGGACAAGATATTAGTCCACTTGGCGTGGCAGAACATTGGATCCACCATTTTTTAACCCCAGAGCCCATTCTCTCCATAGAAAGTGGTCGTGTATTTCACGTACTTTGGGGGACGACATGTTGGCCGCTAGATGTCTCGTGCTAAATTCTTATCTGATAGATATTTCTCCGTACATTTGACGACCAAAATAGGAGACGTGAAGTTGTCGACCAATGTAGTTTATGGAAGGAACGGCCTCAGAGAAGGATTAGTACTGACAAGCTATTCAGAGATGGCTGTACCTAGATACTCCAGCCGATCTTGGCTGAAGTGTTTTCTCACAAACTATTCATTAATCAACCATACTAGTATTCTTCATGTTTTTATAAATATAGCCTGTGTACTTTATTTCGTGTCAGTTAATTCTCGTAGGCTAGTTCTCATTTGAAGTTCATTATGATTACACTTGTCATCTATTTTAAAGGGAGTGCTCGCGAAAAATGAAAGGGGATATAGAGGCTTACAACGAAAAATAAGCTCTTTTTATCGCTGCTCATCTTACTTTTATATGTTGCGTCTTTCAAGAGAAAATTGTTAAAAAATATTCATGCTGAAGAACTTAGCGTCCATAAAAATTCAGAAAGTCGCAACATTCAACTCGAATCATAAAAAAATCAATTTAATTCCAAACAAATCATTCAAATATTACAAACAATAGTCATCGATAGTAAATATTTCATAATATTTTTGATTAATATTTTTTTTAATAATATTTCGTTGGCGCTGGATTTTCGAACATTCCTGGGAAATATGAAAATGTCGTCTTTCTTATCAAAAATCATCGAAACATAAATAAATGTTTACAAAAGTAATTATTAGACCATAAAAAAATAAAAAATATGAAATATGAACTATATACGAACGCGTTGACTCATAGATATTCTAATAGTACAAAATTAATAAATATATTGAATATATATATATTGAATTCAAATACGATAAATAAATAATATATATTTTCCGAAAAAACAAGTTCTTAAAAGATAAATTTAAAAGGTTACGTTGTAGATTTGATGTGCTAAATAAATCACTGGTTTAAATACAGATTTCACAGGGAAAAAGGCCGGCAAGGTATACACTATACATTACTGTGTTTAAATAACAGTTTACTATGTGCACTACAGTGTTCAGTGTGCAGTTTAAATATAATTTGATAAAAACTCATTTTCAAATAAGAAGTGATCTTCCTATTAAAAATACAGGGTGTCCCAATAAACACGGGAATTGAGGGACGAATACGATGCTAGGAAGTAGTAGTGTAATAAATACTTAATTTCAAAAGTCCAAACATATATGTCTATAATAACTATAATGTGTGCTAGAGATTACTTTATGAAACGGTAAATATTGTGCATGTACTGTACTGTCTCGGCAAGATAAACAGTGAAGACGGAAAAGTTTACTTTGTTGACAGGAATTTTCTTGATTTACTCCGTACAACCATGTGATGAACCAAGTGGAACAAAAACAAACAAATTCTAAACTCTAGCAGACGAAATTCCTACGGAATACACCTTACTCAGTGAGGAAACACTATACTAAATAAAATTAATATAAACCGACGATTTCAAAATCGTCGCTCAATTTCCACATTTATTGGGACACCATGTATTCGCTCAATTTCCATGTTTATTGGGACACCCTGTAGTAAGTATGCCCTTATCAGGCACCCGAATGGAATTAACACTGATACAGTGTAAGCATTTAGTAGAATAGAACATTTCTCAAATTATTGGAGAAAATTAACATGTTACAAGAAAATCAGACAATTTAGAAAATAAAAAGTTAATTCTCCCCCCCCTTTTCCAGGTTTAAACCTTTTCCTTCATTCTCTCTAAAATGTTAAGATTTAAACCCATCCGTTCATCCTCTCTGGAAGATTATGCAAACCGCAGACTAGATTGGCTGGTAGACTTTCATCAATCTTCTTGGGATATGGTAGGTTTAGATCCCCCATTATCTTCACGAACTCATCAACAGTCTACAATTATACAAATTAACATTTATAAACTCATTAACAGTCTACAAATAGACAAATTAACATTTTTAAACTCATTAGCAGTGCAAAATTAACTTTTATTAACTCATCAACAGTCTACAATTATGCAAATTAACATTTTTAAACTAATTAACTTCAGTAGAGCTTTATTAGACATTGTTCATTGAACATTGGACATGGACATGGACATGGAAATTTGACATGGACATTGAATATGACATTGGACATGGACATTGGACATTGAATATGACATTGGACATGGACATTGACATGGACATCGACATTGCCATGGACATTGGACAAGGACGTTAAACATGGACATGGACATGGACATGGACATGGACATGGACATGGACATGGACATGGACATGGACATGGAAATGGACATGGGCATGGGCATGGACATGGACATTGCACATGGACATTGGACATGGACATTGGAAATTGAACATGACATTGAACATGGACATGGGCATGGACATGGACATCGATATCGACATGGGCATGGACATAGACAATGAGAACCAGAAAACTGGGTAGTGAATGTCGCCTTTGTTCGTCTTTTACTTATGCCGCTATAGATTTTGTAGAATGCAATATTAGCATCTAAAATATCTTATAAAAATATTCGTGTCACTATTTTTTAAAATATTCAAGTGGTAAATTGCTAATTCCTTAGCGACATATCATTCTCTTTAAAAATTTCCATTTTTTATCCTTTGTTACCCCCGGGGTTCCCATGGGTTCCTTTAAAAAATGTCATCCAATTTGTTCCAGCCGTTTGGTAACTGTCAGCTTTAGCTAACATACAAACATATATACATGAGCAAAGTGCTTTATTATATAGATAGATGGCTGACATTTTTTAGGAATTTTTTCTTCTTTAAAATTAGAATTTTTTCCAGGGGCAGCGCCGTGCACTTCAGTGGTATATAAAGATATATTCTAATCACAATAGTTACCTTGGTAAGCCTTGGATTAAACTTTTTCTCTTCACCAACGGTTGTAACGGTTTGTCCTCTGCAAAATTAGATTTTTTAGGGAACGTTCAGAAAATTAGATATTTTAGCAGATACAACTATTTTTTAGCCAGAGCTGAAAACTTTAGAATGAGATATCCTTAATCCCAATTACTTAATCTGAGCATCTAATGGACATACTTTTGATTTTCTTCTTAACCCGTTCTTTCTTGGATATAGTAAATAGTATAGAAAAATAAAGAGTTGGTTTTTCTAAATTTCCCATTTCTGTATGTAATCTCAAAAAGCGCGCAAAATTTCAAATTTATCAGCTTTATTTACGCGACTCTGACTGGTTGAATTTTATACACTTTTCAGGATACAAGTACAAGATTAAATTAGTCTCGATATTAAGAAAAAGAGAGGATCAAGCATTAATTTCGATATCCACCATTTTAAAGTTTTCAGCTCAGGTTTCATTGGCCCTTCTTTACCCAAAACAAACCAAATATTTATTATCAGATTTTGATTGAGATTTCACATTGTTGAAGCTTAAAAAGGATTCAAGAAAACGTTTTACATTATTAATACTAGGCCTTCAGGGAGCTTCGCGCACAAATTCTATTTCAACAATCTGTGAGCATCTTTATTTGAACATTATAAACAACAACAAAAATCGCTGATTTAATAATATTTGTCCGTGGATTATAAAATTTTACAACAATCAAAATATTTTGGAGAGAAAATGTATAACTTTGAGCATCCATAAACATTCCCTTGGGTCCTGTAAGTTACCTCAAAAATGTTGGGCCCGATCGGTTCGACTGTTCTGACGTTTATAGGATTCAAACGGAAAGACAAACAGACAAACAAGCAAAGTATATAATAATCTGTGAAAATTTCTCAAATCATTCATACTGATGATTGCATAAAAGCATGAAACAATTTGTTTAGAAATAAAATGTTATAAGAAGATTGTTGCGTTTGAACTGATAATATATATATATATATATATAGAAGCATAGAAAATATACTTATAATGGGCCTGTACAATTGGTTTGATAAGCTTAGTTATTATTTTTTTGGGGGCTATCAAGTAATAAACGTTGTGGTTTTCAAATAAAAGACGACTTTTACGAAGAGCAGTGAAAACTTGCTTTTTAAATATGATTTTCAGTAATATTCCTCCCGCGTTAAAAATAACTGTATTTGAGCAGAATAAATTTTTAAAAAATACAGTGATATTCAAAAAACAATGGAATAGGAAGACGAAATTAAAACAAAACTAAAGTGTATTTAATGTTTTTACAAACCTAAAAGTTTTACTTATTAAATCACCAATTTAATGATGGGCCTGTTTAAACTGCAAACTTGCTGTCTCTCAAGCTCATTGGACTTTTTAAAGTTATAACTTGACTCCAAAAGTCATCTTCCATTTAGAGTTTTAGTTATTAATGTATGCCCTTTATCTTTATTTACTTGTAATCGTGAGCAGGGTAGAGATTGTAGGAGTCTGGGAGAGAGAGAATATTGTTCCACACAGAGCTGTACAGGGTCTCAGCACTACCACCCTGTAGATACAGTACATGTATAGTACATACACGGTGGACTAGGGTTAATTTGAATTCGAACCGGGCCGACACTAACCAAAGCCGGCTGGGTTTCAACTTTGAAGGTGCGGCCAGACTGTATACAGTATCCACTATTTGACCTGCCCCACTAGCTTAGTTTGGTGTGCATAGGAATAATTAATACAGTGAGAACCAGAAAACATTGGAACTCTCGTTGTTTTCAATTAATTATGAAATGTTGCAAAGTAAACTTGTATATATTATCTCGTAAAATCATTTTTCTTCTCCCCCTCCCCATTCCACTTTTTTGGATTTATTGGCTAGATTGGGAAAAATGGATGAACTTTTGGGGAAAAAAATCAAAAAAATGTCCAATTTTCATTTTTCCCCAATACATTAAAAATCGCTTCCCCCCACCCCCTAAAAGGAGGTTTTTTTTCTGAAAAATATACACCCCTCGCAACACCCTCAGAGACATGGTTTAAGTAAAAGGAAGAAAAAGACGACATTAATTTCACAGTTTTCAGATTCTCAGTTGCAGATGCAGTTTTAGTCCTTCGGGGAGTTCATCCCTCTTTCTTTGCTTAGGATACATTTCATTTGGATGTGGATCCGGATCCATATACAAATCCGGATCCAGATCCATATACAAATTCGGATCCGGATCCAGGCCATGAACATTTCCTAAAGATTTACTGATTTCTTTTACAAAAGAAGAGTTTTGGATTTTTAAAACAAATTTTTTTTCTCACTTATTTTAGAGCTAAACCTTGATGAACCTTAGAGAGATAAGGAATTTTTTTTGATAATCTCTCTTTTTCAGAGCAAACATTATTTTGCAGTTTTTGTTGATATTTTCACCCTAGGATCCAGACCCTGATCCGTGGATCCGCATATTTTGCGGATCCGGATCCAGTAAACCAAATGTTGCGGATCAAAGCTGAGCTTTTTGTTGATGATCCTTCTTTTATTCTAACATTTTGTATAAAAAATGATAAAAAATCAAGCTTATACAATATAGAAGCCAATAATGGAAATAGGAAAAAGTTTTATGGTATGTAATATACATGCATGCAGTATCACAAACTTGTATTATGAATTAATCAAAGAATTATCTGACATCTGCCATATGAAAGATAAATTGTAAAGCCACTGTTGACATAATTTCATTAGACCTGAGCCAGTTATAAAGTAGCTATTTCACAATGGTAATATATAAGACTTTAACTGCATTTTTCTATCTTCAGAAGTGATAAATTATATCAATTTCCTGTCTTGTCTCGGACGCAAAAATCCGCAAGTCATTTTTATAAAGAATCCACAATTAAGGAAAGACTAACAAAGGATAACAATCAACTTGAGGTTGTGAATCAGACATGACTAGATGAGGCCCTACCTGGAAGTCCGTCCTTCCGCATCCTCTGATCAAAAGAGCATCTCCGGTGAAGGCACATCCTGCTCCGTGATGAATATAAGTCACACAACCTAAAAATAAAATTAAATATATTTAAAACCTCATTTTTGCATTGAACAACAACTTTTTTACTGTTCCCTAGTACACTATACAGTTTATTTGTTTAGAGTCTTTCTTTAAATAACGAAGAAAAAATTGAACAAGAGAGTAAAACATATAATATTACCTACTATAGTATGTCTTAGAGTTTCGGCTAGTTCTAGTTCTTGATCTCCAGATATTAGTATTACCTGCAGTATGTCCTGGAGTTTCAGCTAGCTCAAGTTCTTGATCTTCAGATATAAATATCACCTCAGTATGTTCTGGAGTTTCGGCTAGTTCTAGTTCTTGATCTCCAGATATAAGTATTACCTGCAGTACGTCCTGGAGTTTCGGCTAGGTCTAGTTCTTGATCTCCAGATATAAATATTTCCTGCAGTATGTCCTGGAGTTTCAGCTTGTTCTAGTTCTTGATCTCCAGATATAAATATCACCTGCAGTATGTCCTGAAGTTTCGGCTTGTTCTAGTTCTTGATCTCCAGATATAAGTATTACCTGCAGTACGTTCAGGAGTTTCAGCTAGTTCTAGTTTTTGATCTCCAGATATAAATATCACCTGCAGTACGTCCTGGAGTTTCAGCTTGTTCTAGTTCTTGATCTCCAGATATAAATATCACCTGCAGTATGTTCAGGAGTTTCAGTTAGTTCTAGTTCTTGATCTCCAGATATAAGTATTACCTGCAGTATGTCCTGGATTTTCGGCTAGTTCTAGTTCTTGATCTCCAGATATAAATATTACCTGCAGTATGTCCTGGAGTTTCAGCTATCTCTAGTTCTTGTTCTCCAAACTTCAACTTCTCTCCATGACCCAGGAGAAGATCAGCTTGAGCTTCAGCTTTCTAATATTATGTTGAGTTTATAATAAAGCTTTCGCTTTCGCTTTCTCTTTCGCTTTCGCTTTTTAATATTAAGTTAAGTTTATACAAAAGCTTTAGCTTCAGCTTTCTAATATTAAATCATGTTAATAAAAAGCTTGAGCTTTCTAGTATTATGCAAATTTTATAAAAACTTAAGCTTCAGCTTTCTAATATTTAGACAAGTTAATAAAAGCTTGACCAGTGTCTCCCCAACCTTTAGTACTGATGAGGACATCATAGAAATGTCGAAATAAATTTACTGAAAAAGTGGTCTCCATCATTTATATCTAATCTGGTTTAGTTCAACCTTCCACCATCTATAGCTTGAGCTTCAGCTTTTTAATATTAAACCAAGTTTATAAAAAGCTTAAGCGTCAGGTTTCTAATATTAAACCAAGTTTATTAAAAACTTGAACTTCAGGTTTCTAATATTGAACCAAGTTAGTAAAAAAACTTAAGCTTCAGGTTTCTAATATTAAGCCAAGTTTATTAAAAGCTTGAGCTTCAGGTTTCTAATATTAAGCCAAGTTTATTAAAAGCTTGAGCTTCAGGTTTCTAAATAATAAATCAAAAAACTGTTTTATGTGTTTAACAGAGTTTACAGTGTTAAACCTGCGTTGTAAACTTGACAACGAAAACTTTAATTAATCCCATAGGAAACTTAGTTTGGCAAATATATTACATTTTGTCTTCATTTTTATGTACAAAGTACAAATTATCTACATTTCTATGTACAATGTACAAGTACATTTAGCTACATTTTCAAGTGCTTAGCACTATTGGCCTTCATTTCTATGTACATAGTAAAATTTGCCTACATTTCTATGTACAAAGTACAATTTATCTACATTTTCAAGTGCTTAGTAACAACTTGTCTGCATTTCTATGTACATAGTACAATTTGTCTACATTACCAAGCACTTAACACAATTTGTCTACATTACCAAGCACTTAACACAATTTGTCTACATTACCAAGCACTTAACACAATTTGTCTACATTACCAAGCACTTAACACAATTTGTCTACATTACCAAGCACTTAACACAATTTGTCTACATTACCAAGCACTTAACACAATTTGTCTACATTACCAAGCACTTAACACAATTTGTCTACATTACCAAGCACTTAACACAATTTGTCTACATTACCAAGCACTTAACACAATTTGTCTACATTACCAAGCACTTAACACAATTTGTCTACATTACCAAGCACTTAACACAATTTGTCTACATNACTGCAGTGTATAATCAAGAAACCCAGTATCAGAAACATAATACTGCAGTGTATCATCAAGAAACCCAGTATTAGAAACCCGGTTTTCCGAAGTTTCGTATCTTCCAATATTTTTGTTAAGAACAATTATTTTATTTAGTTTCTTTCCATTCTCTTGCTGGTTTGAATTTGGTTTTCATTTCTCGGATCCACATTAAAACAAATAAATTTCTAAGCAAGAACATTTTTAAACATATGTTTCTTAAACATGTTTCTATATCTAATTTTATTAAACCTACTTAAGTTTAAGATCCAGTTCCTCAACAAGTTTAGCATCTCTCTCAGATTTCTCTATCACTGGATCGATCAGAATAGCTTCCCTAGAAAATATGTTCATGTTGTTATCTATATATGTGTGTACTTTGCTTGTCTCTACTCTGTCTGTCTGTCTGTCTGTTTATATCCAACAAACGTCAAAACGGCTGAACCAATCGGACCCAAATTTTTTGTGGGACCTCACATGACCCCAGGGAAGGTTTATGTATGCTCAAAATTACAAACATTTGAGTCTAAGTGGCGTAAACAGGGGTGGGGGCTGTAGAAACTAATTCCTCACTGGGAAAGTAAAAAGTTATTTCCGTTGAACTTGAGCCCCAGAGCCCCCTTCACATATATTTTCTATAAAATATTTTATATTTATTACATTTGCTTTTGTATATGCTTAACTAAGTAAAATGAAATATTGCATGATTTATGTAGATTTAGAAGTATAGATTATTTTGCACTGTTCAGCAGCTAACGCTCATACAGTGGTAACCAAAAAACAGTGAAATTTTAGTCGTCTTCCATCAATATCTTTTTTTAGGATTAAAAAGTTCAAAAGCGGGAGGGGGGGCATGTTATGAAACTTAATATCCCTGGGAATGATAATAAATAATTATCTGCCTGGACGGTTTGTCGACGAGTAGATAAGAATAAGTCGAGGATTCATTGTCGAAAAGTTGTCTCAGCATCAGATTGTCGAACATGTTGGAACTTATTGCTCGACTGAGAAACCTAAATAACAAATATATAAATCGTTGGTTAAAAATACCTAATTGACACGGACTGGTTGGTTTGGGAGCAGTCAGGGGGAATGAATTTTAAAATTTCATCACAGAATTACGGAGATAGTCAATTCCTATGTAAAATTCATTTCAATAAATAATTTCTTTTTAATTGGAGCTCGTTTTCGCAAGCTAAATGGCACTGCAAGTTTTGATTTTTACACGTCTCTCGAGACAGAGAAAGTTTATTAAAAAGCACAAAATTATAATAAAAAATTTACTCCAGCCCTAAACCTAATACAGATCCTATTGTTTATACTAATCTCATTAACAATAAGTAAAATTAAAACACGCTAACAAACCAATCATACAATACGAACAAAATACGTTCCCTGCAAACTTTTTAAAAGAAGCCATTAGTCAGAAGTTATCAGCCTTAAAATCTATATTAAGAGCCTATTGCCTATAAATAATATGTACATAAATATTATGACTTTTGATTAAAGAATGATGATAAATATAACAACGCTTAAAAAATAACTTATCTTAAAATCTAACTAAAAGATGTCAAATCTAAACTTGTTAAAATGTCGGAACACTCGTCTCAAACTCAAATGTATATTTTTGAAATCTGATGGTGTAAACTTATATTTCATCCTTTAACTAATCGATCAACTTGAATTCAGGGGGAAACTTTTTTTGGCATTAACCCACTCCCCCCACGGGAACAAAATGAAAAAAAAAACATTAAAAGGCAAGTTTTTCATTCTTTTGAAATTGTTTACCAAAAATATCATCTATTTAACCCACTGCAGCGAAAAAAACCTAAGCAAACTTACATAACATTTGGGGAAAAATATTTTCAAAAACATAATTTATAGTTTAAAATATTAAAAATTTACGAAATCAGATTTAAAACTAGAAAATTTGTAGAGAGTTATCAGGGCCCCGAAAAACTAGACCCTCCTGGATACACCCATGAAAAAAAATATTTACAAATGCATGTTTTGATATTAGTCACAAATAAAACTGAAGGTAAGATGAAAAAAAATATTATACGAATGCATGTTTTAATATTAGTCACAAATAAAACTAAGACATTAGAGACCAATGAAACTCTAAGTAAGAGTACTCTACTGAAGGTCATCGTAAATTGTATGCTTGAAGTTCCCTTTCTACTTTAAACAAATTTTTTACATTGGCCGGAGATATCAAACAAACGATTTTTCAACAGGAGGTAAAATCGTTTCGATGAATCTTTATCGAAAGATCGTTTTGGCTACCATCTTTGGTTAGAGAAAAAAATTTAGTTTTTTGTATAGAAGGACGGGCTCTGCTGCGTATTAAACTTCCTATATTCTTTTAAAGCACATTAAAACCAAAAAACCTTGAAAGTATAAAATTGGACCCGAAACGATGCCCTTCCCTACCTAGATGTACATACGTTCGACCGTCCGATGGTTGAACACCTGTACAACGCACTACACAGCATTATGTACTGCAAATTTTGGAGGTGAAATTAATACTCGTTTTTAAAATATATATCACACAATCTTAAACAATCAATCTTTAAAAATTTACCATTTGTTTTTGTAAAATATTTGTACTATTTTGTATTATTACCTGCAGGAAGTGGGAATGGTTATAAATGTACTATTGCGAGTCCTCTAAATTGAAAGTTTGGACAGTGCACGTACGCGCTGCGGAGACGGGTTCAAAATGTACGTTTGATTTCAGATACTCAACTGCCTCAGGATTGTAATGTATACAGTGAAGGAAATGCGGGTGCGCTTTGCTTGAAAATCCGGGACGGTACATTTTCTGCATTCCTTAGCAGGGATGATCATAACATAAATAGAAAATTTTGAGATATTGATTTTTTACAAAGAGATTAAAAATTCTACTTATATCAAACAAAAATAAATATTTTTTTGTTAAAAATCCCTCTCTTCTTTCAAGGTCGTGTTGGTACAAAATTGAGACCGATACGAGTTTCGCGCCCGCCGGCCGCCGATCGCTGGCCGTCGCCCGGGGTGACGGTATCGACTATCGCTACATGTTGATGCCGAGCCTTTGCTTCTTGACTTGAGTAAGCGTTCCTTGAGTGAGTCTGAGACCTGAGTTGCCATTCGGTATTCGTGTAGTTACGACAATTGCTATGCAGTGGCAAGTTTGGTTAGTATAAAATGGCAATTAATATCAATATATTTAAAAATACTGTCATTTTCTTTATAATCAAACAATTTTAATTTCATGATTGTTAGACTTATCGTACTTAATTTATCATATATCAATTTAATAAAAAAAATGATTTTTTAACTCAAAGTTTTAAAGTTTTATTTTACAGATGACACAATATATTACAAATATATAATATAAAAGAGAAAGCTAAAATTGTCAATTCTTTATTTTTTTTTATTCTGTTTTCATGGATTTAAAATAAAAAGATGTTTGCAGAAACTAGAAATATCTATTTTTCAGAAATTACCTTGAAAATGGGAAGCCAATCTAGCACCGTTGATTTCGAGGGAGTTCTGGCAGCCTCTGAGAAGGGCTCCCCTCTCATCATAGGTTTTTGATTATTTTTATTAAGGAATTTGGTAATTTTGTTTAAATGTCCTAAAAACTGCATATTTTTAGATGTTCGCGGGCACGATGAATTTGCCGCAGGGTACATTCCAAGGTGACTTTTTTAATTTGTTTTAAATATTTTTTTCATACTTTAAAGTGAATTTCCTTCAATTTACCATTATCGTAAAAACTGTAGATTTGAGAATTTTCGCGGGCGCAATTTCAAAGCCTAAATAAAAAAGTTATATTTTTATTTTTTATTTATTTTTCAGCTCTTTCTGTCTCCCCCTTCCTGAACTCGGAGAGGCATTGGCACTTTCTCCAGAAGATTTCAAGGCTAAGTAATAATTTTCTCTTTTTTAATACATTCTCTTCTTTCTCTTGGCTCTTGTATTTTATTTATTTTAATTTATTCTTTTTGATGGTTTTCATTTTATTCTTTTAATATATTGATGTTTTTTTACCTATTAACTAGTCTTTTTTTCTTTTGTCTAATTTGTTTTTGTTAAATAACAGTTTTGGAATTTTTTCGAATATTTTCTGTTATATGTACATAACCTTTGAGAAAGGGTTTGTTGCATGCTACTTCCTAAATTGCATGATATCTTCTAGTTTCTAATCAATAATTTAGGGTTAAGCTTTCTATCATTTATTCTATATTTCCAGTACATTAAGTATTTATAAGTTAGCTTGTATTTACAGTGGTAGGCGATTATAACAATACAATGAAGACGACTTTTTAATTCAAGTTTTGATTGTTACAAGCTTTTTTGAATTACAAGTTTATAAGTAATCAAAGAAAAGGTTTTTAATTAATAGCTTCTCTTGACTTCTATGTTTATGTGTATCCATGCTATTTAAAAGCTTGATTTAAATCAAAATTAAAATCGAAAGTCGTCTTCATTGTATTGATATAATCGCCTAATACTGTATATGTAGAAGAAGTTGATGTGCCCGAAGTTGTCTGTGGAATATTAGAAAACTCTTGAAAAAAATATTTAGTCCAGCTATAGCATTTATATACAAAGATATGAGCGAAGAGCTAAATATTATATTTTTAACTTTAATAATTTATTTTTTGGATAAGGGTTGTGGGCACAAGCTCACGCATACAAATAAAAACGAAATATCAATAAATCTATTTCCAGTTTGTTAGCTAAATATTATAGAGATAGTCGACAACCCTTTAAAACTTTAGTAAGTAATCAGAAAAGACGTCAATTAATCAACTGTTTTTTGCTTATTACTGTATTGTATCTAGGTACAACTTTGATCTTCCAGCTAAGGATCAAGAAATTATCTCAACCTGCAGGGTAATATATACTTAAGAAGGGAATGTATTGTGGTTGAACTGAGTATGCAGTATTGTAGAAAATCTTTTTAGGATTCATTTGAGACATAAAAAACGTTTCCACGAAGTATAAATACTGAGTTTGAGCGCAAAGTCGACGGTCAAAATCATGAATTTCGGTAGGTACGTTTTTTTTTTTAATTATTAAATAACGACGACGAAAAAAAAGGAAAAATTATGTTAAACTAAATAGATGGTTAGGAACATATTTCAAAAAAAAATTGTCAATAAATCAATGTTAGAATCAATTATTTCGTTTTCATCATTTTATTGAATTTATTATTTTCTTTGAATTTGTTCGCAGATTTTTACAAATTTTTAATGTCGTCTTTTCAATAAAAATTCCAGATAATTTGCAGAAAATCTGTGTGAATAATGAGAGATATTGGAAACTAATAATTAAATAAGATTATTTTATTTTTTGTCGTTGTTATTTGATAAGTTAAAAAAACGATTCTGAAAACGTACCCACCCAAATTCATGATTTTGAACGTCGACTTTGCACTCAGAAAATATACGTCTCAAATGAATTCTAAAAGATTTGTCCACAAAACTACATATTTAGTTCAACCATCATACATTCCCGGTCACTCCCTTTAAGGAAGAGACTTAAGGATTAAACTTACGTTTATGCGGGATACATTAGAATAGATTGTTTATGCAGACTATAAAGCTGAAAATTGTACAACCCTTTGTACGTACATCTTAAACTCGTCATATAAAAAGGTCAATGAATACGTTTTACTTCTCGGGGTCAATCTGTAGAAAACAACTTTTAACTGATCAGTATCAGTTGTCATTCTGAAATGCACACTATTCAGTCTGAATAGTGTGTATTACTGGTCCTCTAAACAAAACAAAACATCACATACATTTGCCGCAACTCTTTTTATACAATGTACTGTATAATGGACGTTGCTAGTGCAGAGCTAAATTCATATTTTCAATTTAGTCTAATTTATCTAGGGTTTATCCCTATATCACATGGTTTGCTCAAGAAAGATTCAGTTTACAAATATATCCACGAATTTAATAATAAAGACTGACTAAATTATGTACAATATCCTCTGAAGTCTCATCCTTTGTGGGTAACCCTGTACTATGTTTAGAGCTTGGATATGAGAATGTAGTTGTGTATAAGGGAAGCTGGCTGGAATGGACCAGCAAGGGGGCTAAGGTATGATGATAAATATAATAAAAATCATGATATAATAGTAAAAAGAAGAAGAAGAAGAATGATGATAAGAATGATAATAATAATGATAATGATAATGATATTAAAAATGATAAAAAGAATTATAATGATTTTAATAGAATTGTGGGATAATTAGATAATTGAATTTTCTTAATTTGATACAGTGATAGCCATGCATAGTAAACTGTGGATTAGGAAGACGACATTAAAGCAATACTGAAATGCTTTTGATGTTGTAGCTTTACTAGTAAGTTGTTGAATCACTTAAAAAGTAAAATGGGTCTGTTTACATTGCACAATTGCTCGGCCTCCTGTTCATTGGACTAATTAATGTGATATCTTGAGTCTAAAAGTCGACTTCCTATTCCAGAGTTTTCTGGTTATCACTGTACTATTTAGGTTGCTAAGCCTGAATAAACATCGATAATCAGCCTGAAGAACCATTCAAGCATTTAAATTCAAGCAACCGTCAAGAAACAACCTTCAAAAGCGTACTGCAGATCAGTCATAATTGTTCTGCACAAGTTTAAATCAAAATCACAAGAAAATACTGTTATGTTTTATTCACATAAACTGTCTTAACATGTTATCTCACTAAATTATAATTTATTATTTACTCACGTTTATTCAAAATAAAAAAAAATTCACACAAAACTAGATTTTAAAGTTTGCGAGGGTTTCTGGGTCTGTACGCTTGATATCTATTCCATGATGTCTAAAAAGATGGATTATTACATAGTATTGACTACTTTTGTTTGTCGAAAAGTAGAGAAAAAAATTTCAAATCATTTTTCAATAACTGTTCAAGCGTTTAACTCATTAGAATAGAAAAAATCTTAAACTGATTTTCACGAAAAAGATTTCCATCCAGCATAAAAAGCAACATTTAAGCCACGAATTCTCCATAAAAAATTTACTGCCTTAGAGCTTTAATTATAGTGTGATGTATACCTAATAATAACACTTAATACCATAATTCCTTAATCAGTTTCTGGCTATGATTTAGTTGTGATCTCACAGCTAAGCGTGGAAGTCGCAGCAAAATCAAAGCCATAAATGCCTTTCGAATCAAACCACTTTAGTCCGATTCGTTAAACATTTTTTAGCTATGGTTTAGCTGCGACTTCCCCGCCTAGCTTGCCTGGGAAATCGTAGCCAGAAAATGTTTAACGAATCGGATATTTGTCCTGAGTCAACAACGACGACCTGTAGATCATCTAACACTGAATCTAAAGGGTGGACAATATAATAACCAACCTAATAACTGAGCTTCCATCCACGTTCTGAATAGAATAGGACCAATCTTTAAACTCATCACATCTGAATATAAAACACTGTATGTATACAGTGGGACCCCAAAAAAATCTTAGGAAAAGAATAACAACATTTAGGTTAACCTATGTTTATTTCATGTTTTTCGTTTTTTCATGATTTAGGTTTTTTTGTTGTTCAATCTTTCACATGATAACCCTGAGGCAGAGGCCGAAAGGTGTTACGCGCATGCTCTCTCTGTCTTGTAATTCAACGAGACATGCGTGTAATTTCTCTGGGCTTCTGTCTCAGGGTTATTGTGAACGAAGAATCCCTAGATCTTGAAAAGACGACACCTAGTGTTCTATCTGTATTGTTATTAAGCTATGGAAGAAATTTCGAATTTGAAGATTCCAGTTAGAACATGTACACAAATTTACATTGTATAAGGTAGAAATATAGATGAAATGTGAAAAAGTAATGAGACAATGGATACAGAGGAGAAAGATGAGGTTTATATAGATTCAGGACATAAATAACAGGCTGTAGAGGATAAATAACAGGCTTTAGAGGATAAATAACAGACTTTAGAGGATAAATAACAGGCTTTAGAGGATAAATAACAGGCTGCAGAGGATAAAAACTAACCTCAGGTCGGTGTGACAAGCCTCTTCCAACATTTTGGGAGCAATATAGCAGGGAGCATCATCACCATACTTATACATTGCTCTAAATATAGAAGGGAGCTTATCACCATACTTATACATTACTCTAAATAAAGCAGGGAGCTTATCACCATACTTATACATTGTTCTAAATATAGCAGAAAGCATCATCACCATGCTTATACATTGCTCTAAATATAGCACGGAGCGTCATCACCATGCGTATACATTGCTCTAAATATAGAAGGGAGCATCATTACCATACTTATACATTGCTCTAAATATACCAGGGAGCGTTATCACCATACTTATACATTGCTCTAAATATACCAGGGAGCGTTATCACCATACTTATACATTGCTCTAAATAAAGCAGGGAGCATCATCACCATACTTATACATTGCTCTAAATATAGTAGGGAGCATCATCACCATACTTATACATTGCTCTAAATATAGTAGGGAGCATCATCACCATACTTATACATTGCTCTAAATATACCAGGGAGCGTTATCACCATACTTATACATTGCTCTAAATATAGCAGGGAGCACCATCACCATACTTATACATTGCTCTAAATATAGCAGGGAGCGTCATCACCATACTTATACATTGCTCTAAATATAGCGGGGAGCGTCATCACCATATTTATACATTGCTCTAAATATAGCAGGGAGCATCATCACCATACTTATACATTGCTCTAAATATAGAAGGGAGCATCATCACCATACTTATACATTGCTCTAAATATAGCAGGGAGCATCATCACCATACTCATACATTGCTCTAAATATAGCAGGGAGCATCATCACCATACTCATACATTGCTCTAAATATAGCAGGGAGCATCATCACCATACTTATACATTGCTCTAAATATACCAGGGAGCATCATCACCATACTTAAATATTTTTCTAAATATAGCAGGGAGCATCATCACTATACTTAAACATTGCTCTAAAGATAGCAGGGAGCATCATCAGCATATTTCAACATTGCCCAAAATATACCAGGGAGCATCCATACTTTATACAATATTGCTCTAAATATACCAGGAAGCATCCATACGTTATACAATATTGCTCTAAATATACCAGGGAGCATCCATACTTTACACAATATTGCTCTAAATATACCAGGGAGCATCCATACTTATACATTGCTCTAAAAATAATAAATGAAGACGACATTTTTATTACAGTATTTTTTGTTAACAAACTTTTTTTAATTACAAGTTTACAAGTAATTAAAGAGAAGCTTTTTTTAATTGACAGTTACTCTTTGTTTGTTTTAGAAACATAGGATAGAAATAAAAATTTTGAAATTCTTCTTATTATTCAAATTTGACTAACTTTATGTGCTTGTGTCACTTATTATTTCTAGAAATTGTTCATTTTTCGATAACTTCCTTTTTAATACTTTCTTCTTTCGAGAACTCTCCCTCTTTGATTCTTACATATTTTAAAAACTTCCTCTAATTAATATTTTTATCTTTCGAGAACTCTCGCTTTAATACTTTCATCTTGCGAGAACTCTCTCTTTGATACTTTCATATTTCTAAACGTTCTCTGTAACATTAATAACCTGTTATATGTTTGCATTGCATGACCCAAAATCTCCATAGGAACCTGGAAACAAACAAACAAAACTACTTTTAAACGAAGGTTTAAAGGGAGAGTCATTGTAATATCAAGTGACCCTAAATAAAAAGATGACAAAGTTCCATTTACAACTGTAACATTAAAACCTTTATCTGACCAATAATGTGGATGTTATAAATATTGTCGTTTCTCGTGATTTGCTAGTTCCGATATGTTTTCAGCAATAGAAATGTTCTCACTTTTGTAAAGAACCCACGATTAAAAAAAAATTGTGAATCAATCATGGCCATCTTTGCATTAAGAGTCACTTGAAGTTATGCTAACACTCCCTTTAAGGGGACTGTAAAGGAAAAATAAAGGGTGTATAGGATAAAACCTGAGAATCTCAGGCGTAGAACGAGACCTATAAGAGAAATTGACATAAAACTGCGCCAAAATTATACCAAAACAGACATATGTCAGATTTTGTCCCTTTAAGAATCCTGGGCTTTTAGTTTTTTTTTATAACTAAAGTAATCTTTCCCTTCCTGCCTTTGCTAAATGTATTATTTAGTTAGCAATGCATAAACTTTAAAGTTTAAAAGAAAGCTTTATGACATTTAACAGCCAATCTCTTGTTAATATTAAAGGTAATTCTGGTTGAAACCGGATTTTCATTTTGTGTTCAATAAAAATTTTAAATTTAGTTTATTTAATCTTGAGAGAATTGTTATCCCACATTTTTGATAAAAAATTTTGAATAAAGAGTCCGAATTTAATGAGTTTGAGCCGCCTCTCAAATCCGTCAAAAACCGGTTTCAATTGAGTGCAGGCTTAAATCTTGAAACATTGGATACAATTTTATGTGGAACCAACCATATTTGAGCCGCGTCTCAAATTTAAACTGCGGCTAAAATTCTTTAAATTTGGCCTAAGGTTTCTTACTTTCTCTGTCATCCGGGGAAAATTTTGATTGTGAACTCGCAGAGCCAAGGAAATGTTTATTTTTTAATTAATGTTCTAATTGAAGTATATAATAATGTTCTAATTGAAGTATATAATAATTGTTCTAATTGAAGTATATAATAATGTTCTAATTGAAGTATAATGTTCTACTTTTAAATGTTCTACTTTTGCAGTCGACCTTAGAAGTTAACCTACCCTATGTTTAGTTGCAATCTGATAGCCTAGACGGTTATCCTTACACTGTAGTGCTATACTGAAGGAAGGATCATATGTTCCCTAAAATACATCTTAAGTTCTTTTTTAACCCGCAACTTTTAGCAATTACGGTTAAACAACCATTTTTTTATTGAAGAAATTTTCACTTATTCTTCAGGACCTTCAAAGTCTTTAATTTTGTTAACCTGCAGATTTATATGATCTTTCTTTTTATATTAGGGTTTCCATTGAAATTTCAGATCTCATTTTCGCAGAAAAGTTATCATTTTTGCGAAATTTTCGTTCAATTTTCGTTCAATAAAAATCGAAATTTTTCCATTTTGCATTTAGGAAATAGTTCAGACTTGTGTTTGCAAAAATTTTGCAAAAAATCAATGAGATAATTCTCACTGGTCGGAACTCAGTAGGCCGGGATATCCAAAAGAGAGGTTTAAACAGAAAAGCAAAAGTGTCCATAGTGGATATTGAGATTCAGCAATCGGGAATAAGAGTTTTCAGCTCTTAATTAAAAAATTGAGCCCTATCAAATTTATATTTTTTGGGTGCATTTTTTCAATATTCAATTTTGTATAGATCTTAAAATTTGTTATATTTTATTATTTCTTGGATTTTGCAGATTTAAAAAATAATTTCTACCTGCATTAACATTGGGCCGCCTGTCTCAAACACAAAAGAGTTTCCGGCACTTAAAAAAAAAATTTAATATCGGCAAGAAATTTCTTGGAAAAAAAATATTATCATACAGTGATAACCAGAAAACTGAAATAAGAAGACGACTTTTATAATTAATTTACAGCTTTTAAAAGTATCGCTAAAATTTCGTCTTCCTGTTCTATTGTTTTCTGGTTATTATTGTATGTTGGATAGATATTTGATACCTGGCCCGGATACAATCAAAACAGGTTTTCATGTCAACACCCGACTTCTTCGCTGCAAACACAATTTATTTATAGAAACAATGGAGGAATTTCTCTAAATATATACATTTTTTCGAGTCATTCTTCAATATTTTTAATCAGTATGAGATTTCAATGCTTACGTCATGCAAATCAGACATTGCTATCTTTACATGGAGGGGTCAAAACGTCTAAACAGACCAGGCCCTCATTTGATCCCAGTTAAGGTTCATGAAGTGAAAAAGTTTAAAGATTTTTTAATCCAAAATTTTAATTCCAATGAAAACAGAAAATTTTTCTATATTTTATATTGTCATTCTTCTGGTTGCAACAAAGAAACATTCCAAAAGCTAAGAAAAAAATACCTATCATGAATACTTCTCCCATGGCAAGATTATGTACACAAGTCAACATATTGGACAAAACCTTAAAATAGTAATAATTATCTTGTATTTTATTTTAAACCAATCAGTAATTACTTAAGGGTTGCACAGAGGGGGATTGATAATTGTCTACCATCGGTATCCAGCCTAGATAAAGCTGGACTTTACTCTTACAACTGATAAATGACATGACGAAATTATGGCGTAACCTATAGTATAATAGTCAAATATTCTTGGTGTCTAAGTTCCTGACCTATTCATTAGTACAGGATTATTTAGATTTTTTTAATTCGAGATTTTTTTTAAGCGTTTCAAAACTTCAGCTAATTCATAATAAACAGTTTAAAGTTAGTTTTCTCTAAAATTTCCCAAAATGGTGAACGGTCCCTTTAAAGTTACCTTTGGCACAAGGGCTGTTCCCATTACTCCAGTATAAATTACATTACAGTAGATATCCTCTAACATTGGTTGAACCTAAACAAGTTGTCTGTCCAGATATTAAAGGGACTGTAAGCGTAATTTAAAGTGACCCACCATGCACAGATGTCAATGCCCCATTCACAACGGTACCCCTGAAACCTTGATCTGAGCTGAAAACTTTAAAATGAGATATCCTTAATTTCCGATTACCTAATCTGAGTATCCAATAGACACACTTTTGATTTTCTTCTTAAACCGTTCTTTCTTGGATATAGTAGAGAAAAATCAAAAACCGTTTTTTTTTTAATTTAGAGAGTCCCTTTCCGTTTCTGTATATAATCTTAAATGGAGCGCAAAATTTCAAATTCATCAGCTTTATATACGCGACTCTGATTGGTGTAATTTTATTCATTTTTCAGCATACAAGGTCATGATTAGGTTAGTCTCGATATTAAGAAAAAGAAAATTCTTTCGATGTATTTGTTATTAAGGGTTTCACTGTATTTTGTAGCTCCAAAATGAGAGTGCAGTGGGAATCATAAATCTGTGGAAAAGGAAAACGACATTGTAAAACTTCCTAATCCACAGTTTTCTGGGTCCCACTGTATTATAGATTAACCTGTTCCGCCAAAGATTTTTCTCCCGCCATAAAAACCGTCATCTGCCCCTTTTTTAAAGCCTCTAAACCTGAAGTAAGTCTATTTATCTAATCTTTTTGTCTATCTATCTATCTGTCTATTTACCTGTCCATCTGTCTATTTACCTGTCTATCTATCTAATTACCTGTCCATATGTCTATTTACCTGTCCATCTGTCTATTTACCTGTCTATCTATCTAATTACCTGTCCATATGTCTATTTACCTGTCCATCTGTCTATTTACCTGTCTATCTATCTGTTTACCTGTCCATCTGTCTATTTACCTGTCTATCTATCTATTTACCTGTCTACCTATCTATTACCTGACTATCTATATATTTATACGTCTACATATCTATTAATCTATCTATCTATCTATCTATCTATCTATCTATGTATCTATCTATCTATCTATATATCTATCTATCTATCTATCTAGCTATATTATCTACATTATATGTATATATCTATATACTATCTATTTTTCTATATATTTATACCATCTATCAATATTTCTATATATCTATATATCTATCTATCTATCTATCGAGTTACCTCCCGTGACTGGCGCCTCAAGCATCCTACCCCCTTTCAACTTTACCAGGTCGTTCATTGCCACCGTCTTTATTTCTCATTCTCAAATATATTTTCTCATTTTTTATCGTAAAACACTACGTTCAGGGCATAGGCGCAATATATTTAATTCATTTTAAACTCTGGAAAGACGAAAGACGACTTCTGGACTGAAGTTATCACTTTTAATGATCCAATGAACGTGGGACCCAGCAATTGTGCTCATTGTGCAGTGTAAATAGTTCAAATAGACTTAATGAGTGATTTAATAAGTGTCTAATAAAACTATTTGTTTTCCAACAACATCAAATATTTACACATAATATTTTCTCCTGAAACTCTTAATTTTATATTTTTGTTATATTTCATAAATAAATATAATTACTGAAGTATTGAATATAATGTCGTCTTCCTATTTCAGAATAGTTCAAATAGACTTAATGAGTGATTTTAGAAATGTCTATAATAAAACTATTTGCTTTGCAACAACATTAAATATCTACACTTAATATTTTCTCCTGAAACACTTAATTTTATATTTTTCGTTATATTTCATAAATAAAAAATTACTTAAGTAATGCTATAATGTCGTCTTCCTATTTCAGAGTTTTTGGTATGGCAAAAGATTTGATACAGAAAATAAGTTTTTGCCACAAATTTGACGAGTGTCTTCTAAACCTTAAGATAGGGTTGGTAATCGTTTCTAAAAACGATCGTTGCGTTTTTGAAAAAACGATTGTTTTAAAAACAAACCACTGCACTCGATAGGAACTTTCAAACACTAAAATTGATCGTTTTTGTAAACGAACGTTTTTAAAAACCATAGTTTTTTCTAACGATAAACGATTATTTTTGAAAACGAGTGATTTTTAATAACGATCTTTTTTGAAAATTTTTCGATGAAGAATCTGATAATTAATCTTTTTACAAATTTTCAGGAAGATAAGGTTATGAATGCTGTTTTAATGGATTTTTTATCGAAACAATTAACCTGAACTTTTTCTGACCTCGAATTTTATATCAAAAAGTTGTAATGATCAAGAATGAAGGGTCATTGTTAACGGTTGTTTACGAATGGTCGTCGTTAACAACCGTACTTCAAAAAAAGTGTAAACGATCCATCCCTAACTGTACAGATGTGGATATCATAAAATGTCTAAATACATTTACTGAACTGTGGTCTTCATCGTTTATTTCGAATCTGAGGCCGATTCAACCTTCCACCAACTATATCAAATTTTCTAATCCTTATATCTGAGCAACCTGATAATGTTAACCTTCGATATTTCAAACTTAGGTTATTTGATCTAACAGAACTCATAGTTTGAAATATTAATGTTATACAATATTGTGCTGCAAAGATATAGGGATTAGAAATTCAGAGTTTGTGGCAACAACTTTGTTCTTTTGACATTTTTTATCTTTAAAATATTTGATTATCATTTAATATTTGAACACCCCTGCTCGTAATCTGTAGTCGAGTGATCAATCCAGATTTTTCCATCAGATATTCCAGACAACAATCCTGTATCCCCCTGTACATAATCCTGTATCACCCTGTACATAATCCTGTATCACCCTGTAAATAATCCTGTATCACCCTGTACAAAATCGTGTAGCATCCTGCACACATCCCGTATCACCCTGTTCATAATTCTGTATCACTCTGTACATAATCCTGTATCCCCCTGTACACGATCCTCTATCACCCTTCTCATATTCCTGTATCATTCTGTAAATAGTCCTTTATCACTCTGTAAATAATCCTGTAGCACCCTGTACATAATCCTGTATCACCCTACCCTGTACATAACCCTGTATCACCCTTTTCATATTCCTGTATCATTCTGTAAATAGTCCTGTATCACCCTGTAAATAATCATGTATCATCCTGTTCCAGTACTTCTCCGCCTTATTTTTCTCATTAAGTCCCTTAATCAATAAATATTTACCTCAAATACTGCCTTGACATGGGGAGGCATAGGAAGAGCAGTAAATACAACATCAACCTAGTTGACCAAAATCAATGAAAAGAGATTTTGCTGAAATACCAACCATAGGTTCAAATCCTGAATCACCAATTCAAAGCCTCATGAATCTTTAACTTTGAATTGTGGATTCAAGATTTTAACCGGCCTTAGATAGTTCAGCGACTGTAGCTCAAGTTAGTTAAATTCAACCTAACTATTGTATTGTTTTTACTAAACGTAGACAAAAAATGTTAAAGATTAAAAGATGTTTACAAACGTTATCGTATCTTTTACAAGAAGAAACGTTGCTTATACCCAATATTAATGTCACTAAGAAAAAAAGAAAATGAGAAAGACCAATTAGAAATAAAATCGAAATTTTTATGTAAGATATGCTATGGTTGATTTCAGCTAATTGTTTTGTAATTATTACATAATATTTTAGATTTAAAAACATAATTGTTCACGTAGCGTTTAAGAAATTACGTAATTTGGTTAGCAGGGGAGTGGGACCTGTTCAATAAGTTCTCTTGGATTAGATGCTGTTGTACAATCTGAGGTTTGGAATTCTTTACACTTAGATCCATCTACATCTAGTACACAGCTTACTCCATACCTGCAGTACAGTACATAGAAAATCTCTTGGTAAATTAGACGTTTAGTTTGAAACTGCTGCAGCCGACATTTCTTTAAAACAATCCGAGGCCGAATTTCATGAATTTGAACAGTGTTGTTGAACCACTAATCACTGGATCAACTTGCACACTGACTCAAATTCTTTAAATTCGGCCTCTAGAACATTTAAAATATACATAACTTGGAAACTACGACATTTTTATTGACAATAAATAACAAAGATAATAAATAAGACTATGAAAATCCACTGTTTTTATAATTTTAATAGTCGAAAATTCCTACCCAGCATTTTGAAGATTTTTAACAACGGCATTTCCAACATTTCCAAGACCTGGTAATAAACGCCAATAAAATTTCTACTTTCTATTTATTTAGTTTGAGAAATGTTTGTTTGNAAATATCGAAAATTAACAAAGACAGTGTGATAGTAATATCGAAATTAACGAAAACAGTCTGATAGAAATATCAAAAAATTAAAGAACATGGTTTGTTCGACCTTTTGCACATTCAGATTGAAAGTTGAAACATCGAAAATTAACTGAGACCGTTCAACACATTGAAAACTCTGATAGAAATATCGAAAATTAAGTAAGACAGGTTGAACCATTGAAAACTCTGATAGAAATATCTGAGTTTGTGGCAAAGACTGATTTCCTTTGTAGAGAAATTGAGTTTTTGCGACAATCTCTGATTGTCTAAAGACTCAATTCCTGAATAGTTTATCGTTAACTATCTCTTTGATAGAATTTATTGTATTTAAAATAGCCAGCTACAATATTGTATACAATCATAAAAAGGTTTCTCTTTCACGGCATAGCAAACTTTTATGACGATTTTTCTTAAAATATATATAAAAAAGTTGAAAGAATTAGAACACCTTTACGGTGATTATCACGTCAAACTCTTTAATGAAATCTTTAATGTTTTCAGTCATACTCCTTTTATTAAAGAACTATTGAGAAGAGCAATATTTATTTGAATTTCTATTCTGTTACAGCGCGGATAAAATTAGCTTTTTTAAGATTGGGCTCAAAATCAAAACTAGAAGAACTACGAAGTCGCAAAGTCGAACTAGTACTGTTGTATAAATTTTACATTATCCTGTTGTCTAGGAATAAGATATTAGAGAATTTAATCAGCAAACGGTTGGCTTCTAACCTTATTTTTAAAAGGATAGCTCTTTTTTAATATAGTTTCATAATATTTGCAAATTTAGATAAACATTTTAAATAAATTGAATTGTATTATTTATTTCAAAAAGAAAAAAGAGGCGCACAGGGCAGGAAATAGATTAAATATTTCTTATCTTGTAAGTTTTGGCTTAAAGGGACTGTACGCGTAATTTTAAGCGTCCCTCTATGCTAATGCCTGATTCATAAACCTTTGTCGAGGTCTAGTATGAATTAGAATTAATGTTTGATTTTTTAACTGATTATTTTTAATAGTGACATCTCTACAAAAGTGACTTGCGCATTTCTACTGCAGGAAAACACGTAGGAATTGTGTGAATTAAATACTTTTACACGGGATTTTCACCCAGAAAAATGACAATATTTTACACATTATTGGAAACTAGATTCATCTTTTATTATTCATCGTTTGTATATGTAAACTTGTAAATATAGATTTGTGTACAATGTTGCGTTATTATTACGCACCTTTGACCCTTTAGTAAAACTAAATTCTGACTGCGTCAACCTTTTCGCACCGGCAAGTGCTATTGAGGGTCTGCTTTATTTACCCAATGTCCGGGCAATACAGTACAAACTGGGACCGGAAAAGTTGACCCGGCTCGGAAATTCAAATATACTACGGCTGCCGGTGTTATTCAATCCAGTCTATAGGCCATGTAGCCCTGCAAGATCACAGTGAATTGTTAAACCTTAGTAGTAGTATTTATTCAGATATAACAAGCTATCATTGGTGGATTTAAGGTTTAAAGATTTCCTAATTTAAAGTTTTTCCACTGGATAAAGATTTCAGCCGCTGAAATCCCGGGCTTAGTCAGATATCCAACTTGAAAATGTCCAGCTCTGGGTCCTTTGACAAACAATTGTCAATTCAGTTCAATTCAAGAAGCTTGGGAGGTGTCCAATAGCTCTTTCACTTACGGGGGGTATGCCATGTGCACGATCTCTTCTAAGTCAAGGCTTTTCAGCCTAACATAGTTTAAGCCAAACGTCGGACTGACGATTAAAGTTAAGACATGACACCGGTCCTATTCCTTTTGTCCGCTAATTACGAAACAGGCGAAAGATTTTTCCCCCCATTTTTAAGGGGGTTAAAATGCCTTCACAATTGAAACAAAATTATTTAAAATTCTGATAATCGTTTTAATTTTCAGAAATGGCAAATAAAAATTGTCAATCTCTTATAGAGTGCAATCCAAAAGTTTATGGAATTATTTTTTTTTTACAAATTCCTGTTTTACTCACGATTTTATGATCTTGGGTGTAAAAAGTTGTCTGAGTGGGATTCATGTTGTGTTCAATGCCCCGGAAAATATCAAAACAGAGAGAGGGGGATTAAAATTTTGTAGATCCAGAAAAATAATATTTGTGGGATGCCTGCGTAGAGACTGGCAGCTGGTGGGGTCTTTAATGTAAGACATGTGGCCGCAGCCCTCAGGCCCCTAGCCTGTCATAGCCACAGGGCTCGGTCCAGAAAGTGTCATAACTTAACCTAACCCGTGGCCGCAGCGCTCGGCCCCCTAGCCTGTCCTAGCCACAGCGCTTGACACAGAAAGTGTCTTAACCTAACCTAACCCTATATAAATACTAATTTAATTATTTTTCTGGATCTACAAAATTCAATCCCCCTCTCTCCGTTTTGGAATTTTCCAGGGCATAGAACACAACATGAATCCACTCCCCCTAAAAAGTTTCTTATTTGTTCCGAGGCAAATAAGTAACATGGTAACATGATACCGGCAAAGCAGGTCGTGGCTTTTCATAAAAAATATTGCACATTTTTAATAGAACTTGAATTAAATAAATTTAGTGTTAATTCAAGTTTTTAGTTCAAATTACTACATTCTGGGGATTAAAAACTTGAATTTAAACCTTAAACAAACAAAAAATTTTAGAGTAAAGTGCGTTATTTTGTTATATATAAAAAAATTGCTGAATTTGATTGTACCTATTTTTCAACCCTAATATCATTACAAGTAGAGATGTTAACCTAACCAAAATCACCAAAATATTATTATCAGGTTATATATATATGAAGATGCGAAAATAATTTACTCAGTGTAACATTTACAAAACATTAAAAAACAAATATGAAAAATAATGGATTTTTGAAATTCTAGAGCTAAGCTTTATAGGGTTTATTAATTGTTTTTTTTTAATTCCCTCCCCAGTAGTTCCTCCATATAGATATTTAATAGGTCCTAAAGTAAATATTGTTGTAAATATTGCATATTTAAACTTAAAAGTTGTGTGCACACTAAAAACTGTTTAAATTTTTTGGAAATTGCGGTTTTTGATTATACATGAAATTTCAGAGCACAGGAAACAGCACAATGTCTAGTTTGACAGAATATTCTGTTGTGAGCAAGCAATGGGAAGCTACTGAAAAGACTCTTAGGGATGGAAAGTCCTTTGCAAGTACATGAATTGATTTCTTGGAATGAACAAGCTTCCAGCAAACTCAAGCTAACACAAGGAAGTGTACAGCTTGATAATCCTCCCATCGCTGAGCAGCTTGATGATCTTCTCATCACTGACTAGCAGCGTGTTGATCCTCTTTTCAATGAGCAGCTTAATGATCCCCCATTTGATGAGCAGCTGATAATCCTCCCTTCAATGAGCAGTCTGATGATCTTCTAATCACTGACTAGCAGCGTGTTGATCCTCTTTTCGATGAGCAGCTTNAATACTTTAAACTTTATCAAAAGTTCATTCTTGTCGGATTTGGGTGCTTATTTGTTTGTGTTTTTTAAAAATGAGAAACAATTTTAACGGATGTTGTTAGGAATAGACTCATTAAAAATAGTGTTGTTATATAGATGTTAACTGTACCAGCTTAAGCAAGTGTAAAATAATAAAGTTTAATACTATAACCAAATACTGCAATTTATAACCAACCTAAGTGAAATATATGACCAAATTTAGCAATTTGATATGCTTTAAAGCAACCTTTGTATCTTAAGCAATGCTTAATCATTTCTGTTTTTTCTTTGGTTTCTTACTCAAATATCTTGAAATGTTAGAATGTATGTTTTTTCAAACAATTTGCGTTTTACTATAGTGAGCTATAGGTTTTTTTTACTATAGTGAGCTATAGGTGTTTTTTTCTGAAAATCTGAAAAGTTAAGTCTACACAGGCAGCCGTAGTACATTTGAATTTCCGAGCCAGGTCAACCTTTCCAGTCCTAGTTTGTTCTGTATCGCCTGGACATTGGGTCAATAAAGCAGACACTCAATAGGACTAGCTGGTGAAACAAGGTCGAGGCGGCCAGACTTTAGGTTGAATTTACTTTTACTGAAGGACCAGAGGTGAGTGCTTAACTATAACCAAATAACGCACTTTACTCTACATTGGCACGACCCAATTAAATCAGAAGGGTTCTGGTGGATGTATGATTTTTTATGTGTACTTTCTTAAATAACATCAACTTATAGAATTAAACATAAATATTTAGATCAGATGATTTTTAAAGAACTTTGAACAAATCAGGTTTTTAAAATCCAGTTCAGATGAACCGAAGAATCTTTTTAAACATATTTTTAGACAATAATATATAAACATAAAGAATTAATACAGTTTGGAGACATCAATAGAATTAATATAATTTCAATGGGTTTTATACTATTATACAGCTAATTCTCATTGATTGCAAAATTAAATAAATAGTCATAAAATATGCAGGAACAGTTTTAAAGAGCCCTGTATACTTATTTCATTAAAAATTAAATGTCTGCCACATTTCATTAGCAATAGGTTAAGTAGACAAAATTTTTTTTAATTCTTTTGATTCTCTGAAGTTCCGAGTTAAACTGCTATACAGTGGTTGCACGAGAATTTTTCCTAGATGTGTTTATTTGGTGTACTGTCCCATTTTCTGGTCACTGTTCTGACTAGTTCCAGAGTTTCATTCTGAATAAACAAAGATGTGTATCTGCAGAATTAATTGCATTTAACTTTCGCATTTCGTTTCTTGTGCTTTAATATATATCACACATAAACAAAAGTTTGATCTAAATCTTTTGATTTAGCAAAATTGGGGTATATATTTTGAAATTAAGAGAAATATGTGGGAATATTGATTTATTTACTATTTGTTGAATATCTTGGTTAAATCATTATTCTTGTTTAGGATTCATCAGAAGAACAGCTTGCAGAACCAACTTCAGCTCTCAGATGTTGGATAAGATGATGTTCATCAGGTTTTCCGTAGAGGTCGGAAAAGACAACCTTCCTCCACTAGATCCAGATGCCAAGTGTCTCAAATCTGTAGTTTCTGCTTGGTCATCAGAGATTCTCGCAATATTACATAAAAAGTTACAAGTTAAAATGAATATTCTCTACAATATTACAATGTTATTACATAATTGATATGTATACAAATACAAAAGAGCATTATTTAACTTCCTTTTTTTATTTACTAATATAAGCTATGATGTGAAGAATATTTAACTTTGATTTTGTTCTTTTATAAAAGAGGGGGAAGTGGTACAAAAAAGGGGGGAGAGAGGGGTTTGAACCGTCGTTATTTGAAACTATTAATGTCTATAGGTCAGGATATTATCAAAGTTGACCATTCTAAAATTAGAAGGAAGGGTCAGATTATGACAGAGAAGACAAATAATCCTTTTAAAATTGTTAGATGCTAAGTTCTTTAAAATCAATGAACAACCTCTGACAATTATTTTTATATCCTCTGGTTTTATTTGTCTACTTGATTTAATCCAATCAATTAGAAGTAGGGTTTCCAACAAAATTTTCCTTAAAGGGATTGTTCGCGAAAAATGAAAGGGGTATAGGCTTAATCCGATAAAAAAGCGCTTTTGATTGCTACTAATATTACTTCTATCTGTTGTGTCTATAATGAGAAAATTGTTAAAAACGATTAATACCGAAGAACGTAGTGTTCATTCAAATTCAGAAAGATGCAACATTCAACTCGGATCGTAAACATATCAATTAAATTCCAAACAAATCATTCAGATATTACAAACAATAGTTGAAATAGGTTGAAAAATGGATAGTTTTGGATAGAGTTTGACTGTAGAAGGGGAGGGGGTGGGGGGTAGGAGTTGGCAGAAAGATGAAAATTCAGAAGTGGATTTCAGCATAAGGAGCTTTTCAAAAACAGGGGACTGTATCCTTGAGGCACCCGGATATGGATGGCAAAATTCCCTTCATTATTCTTGTTCCATACCATATCCCCACTGGTTTCCTCATGGGAGCCCTTCACCCTCTCTCAGGTACTCCCCAAAACATTCCAACATCTCATCAAATCCATCTCCTCCCAACTCCATGAGCACGGTGGAGTCATTAGTTGACACAGTGAGACAGACCAGTAGGTTTAATGAAGTTTTCATAGCCCAAGAAATAAGAACAAAGTACAAATTACATATTATAAAGCCATTTGAATCATATTTCTATACTTTCAATAAAGTATTGAAACATCATCACATTATTTCTGGGAGTCATATTTGATAATTTACAATATTGTGCCGGGTTAGTTGTTTGTATTTGTATACCAAAATTATTAAGTTTTAACATATTGACATGTTTGCACAAAAAGCACACTGTAATTTTTGCTTACGAGAGATAAAAATAGAAAAATAATGATAAGAACTATGTTTGTTAAAAATGATTAACTTTGTGCTATTATATAGAATATGAGTCTAAAAAAAAAAGATGCTAGAAATATTAACTTTTTGCGGTATTAGATCAGAACATCTAGTTTTATACTTTCTCCAGTTCAGTTTTATTCAGATCTATAGGCGCTACGACATCTGCTCTAATTCCATTTGCTCTATGGCCATTTGCTCTAGTTCCATTTGCTCTATTAACCATTTGCTCTATAGCTCATAGATCACGACGTTTGCTCTATATGTCATCTGCTCTATACATCAATTGATCTATGACATAACACGTCATTTGCTCTATAAACATTTTTATGACTGTGATGGTCCAATTGCTCTACTCAACATTTTCTCTATGAGTTAATACGTCATTTGCTCTATAAACATATTTTACAAATATCTAATCATGTTAAAACTATATTTTTAGAATTTTACATTTTACAGTTCTTCCTACAGTTTCATTATTCCGCCAACTTCCTGGAGATAGTTTTGTTTGTCTGGTATTTGTGAATATTGTGAGACCAAGCTAAATATGGTTTTCACCACATATTAGGCTTTTTTACCCCTCTTATTATTGAGCAGTCTCTCTGTCATGATGAACTTTGAAGAACTGATTAAAACTGCAATTTACGAATTTTCCAAAAAAAATTCCCGCATTTCATAGTCAAGTTATGCTCAGGAATTCCAATAAAAGCTATTTTATAGTGTATTTTTATGTTATAGAGATATTTTGAGAGATAAATTAAAATTTTTTTTTATAATTTTTAAATTTTTGAAATAAAAGACATAAAGGAATTGAGTCTTTGCCACAAACTCAAATTTTCTAATCTTTATATCTTTGAAACCTAATGCTGTAAACCTTTGATATTTCAAACTTAGATTGTGTGATCCAACATAATTCATAGTCTGAAAAATCTAAGGTCTACTACATCGGGCTGAAAAGATATAAGAATTATAAAATCAGAGTTTGTGGCAAAAACTCAATTCCTTTGTTCACAATCAAAATTACATATGAATAAAAAACTATGATTCCAAGCCTACTTTAAACAAGGTGTGGACATATTTTCATAATTATCTTTTGAGATAAAAGCAATTTATTAAACATAAAAAAATTGCTCAATTTTAGCATTACAGGATAAACTATAAAGATTCATAGTATGCTTATTTTCAGTGGTGGATATAACTTTAAAATTACAATTTTTAATAGTCATTTTGTGTCTCCATAAAAATATCTTAATGTCCAAAAATTTCTTATTTTGTCCTTAAAAACAAGTTAATATTCTTAAATTGTAATTTTACATCTAGTAAATGATTTCATTTAGCAATCCATCCTTTTTTCGCCATAGTCTGTCCCATAATCTTCATTATCCATCACATTATCTTTGTTATCCATATCCAGTCTCTTTAGTAAATAAAATTAAGGATATGGGTACACAGAATCATGATCTTCATTATATGTCTCCATCCTTTAATAAATGAAATTAAGGATATGAGTAAAAAATTATCTTCATTATCCATATCCAGAATCCCATTATCTTCATTATCTGTCTACAGTCCCATTAATAAATAAAATTAAGGGTATAGGTACACAGAATCCCATTATCTTCATTAGCAATCTCCATCCTTTAATAAATGAAATTAAGGGTATAGGTACACAGAATCCCATTATCTTCATTAGCAATCTCCATCCTTTAATAAATAAAATTAAGGATATGGGTACACAGAATCCCATTATCTTCATTATCTGTCTCCATCCTTTAATAAACAAAATTAAGGATATGGGTACACAAAATACCATTATCTTCAATATCCATATCCATCCTTTATTTAATGAAATTAAGGATATGGGTACACAGAATCCATTATCTTCAATATCCATACCCATCCTTTATTTAATGAAATTAAGGATATGGGTACACAGAATCCCATTATCTTCAATATCCATATCCATCCTTTAATAAATGAAATTAAGGATATGGGTACACAGAATCGCATTATCTTCAATATCCATATCCATCCTTTAATAAATGAAATTAAGGATATGGGTACACAGAATCCCATTATCTTCAATATCCATATCCATCCTTTATTTAATGAGTAAAATTAAGGATATGGGTACACAGAATCCCATTGCCAAGACCAGAAGCAGGTGATTGTTCATCTGTTTGAATGGTCCTGGGACTCTATAGCCAGGTCAGTGTTACGAAGTTAACTCAATAAACAACAAAAATGTACTGCATGAAACCACCTGACAAAATGTTTTTTGAAGTGGTCCTTGAAAAATACTAATGTGTACTCACTTTAAAATTTGGGTCAAAGTCATAGAAAATTGTTCCTCAAAAAGTGTATTCTTAACTCCTTCAAGCTATCTTTAATTGTATAAATTGGCCATTATATCATTCAGTTCACTCTAGTTCGAATAGTTTGATTTGGTATTGCCAACCAAAAGAATAAAATGTGAATAAAATGGATAAATAGCTAATTTTAAGTGAGAGTATATTAATATTTTACACAGATACCTCATAAAATAGTCTTTTTGCCAGATAAAAAAGAATAATGATTTTGTAAATATTTTGTAACTATGAGCCTCCCCAAAGTCATAATAAATTAAATCAGAAGTTAAAAGAAGTGATTTATCATGTGCTCACCACAATTTTTATCAATTGACATTATTACTGCGCCCAAACTGTTTTTCTTTTTTTCCCCTTTCTGTTTTTACCAATCTTCACAGTAAATTACGGAATGAAAAAATTGCATATATTCAATAAACAATTACTTGATTGACAGTTATCCTACTTTTAAATTAGAGTCTGTTTGCAGAGAATGCGAGGAAGTGCTTGGTCCTAAAGGATTCTGTGGTGTCCAAGTCTCTCCACCTGAGGAACATATCCAAGGTGGTCAATGGTGGACTAGGTAAATACTCAAAAGTTTGTTTTCAAACCAAAAAATATTTTTGATCAGATTTACTTAAAAAGAATTCTTAAGCAAAAACAAACGTGTGAGTTCAATTTAACACCATTAAACATTGTGAAATATCTAAGAAAAAAAAACTTTTATGGTTCTATAGGTCTATCAGATCTAAATAGACTTTTTCCTTATACCTTATAGTTGACATTCACCCTATCCTCTATTGATTACTAGATATCAGCCAGTTTCCTACAAGCTTGAGTCAAGATCTGGAAATAGAGATCAGTTTATCAGCATGGTTAACAGATGTAATGCTGTAGGAGTAAAGTAAGTAGGCTTGGAATACATTTCCGTACAGCTATAATTTTTACAAAAATAAAAATAAACCAAATTCTAATGGTTTGACAAAAACTTTATGTCTTTTCCAAGAACAAAATAAGGTTTCATCCCACCCCTATCAAAGGTTTATCTTACACACTTTCCTAATAATTTATTATATTATTTACATACACTGTCCAGTGTCCAGTATCTATTACTCTCAATTTTCTAAGTAAATAGTCAAATGAATTTTAATTGCATCACATTTAAACCCCTGTTGATTTTAGCATTTATGTTGATGTTGTGGTCAACCACATGACTGGACATGGAGCTAGTGGACATGGAACTGGAGGATCCTCCTATGATGGTCCAAGCGAGAACTATCCTGGAGTTCCTTTCTCAAGTTTGGACTTCCATCAACCTTACTGCGAAATCTCCAACTATAATGACCCAAATAATGTAAGATCATAAAAATGTTGGCATATTTGTTTTTGCATACAATTGATTAAATACATTTGGTGTTGCTTACTTACTAAAATATTTACACAGGACTTAGTCTTATCACTTTCAGGTCAGAAACTGTTATCTTGTATCCATGAATGACCTTGATGGTGGTAAAGACTACGTTCGAGGTAAGATTGCAGACTACTTCAAAGACTGCATTAACATCGGAGTAAAGGGGTTCCGTGTTGACGCCAGTAAACATATGTGGCCTGGAGATCTTGCTGCCATCCAGGAGAGAACAGGAAATCTGCCAAATGGTCGTGCACCACTTTATTTCCATGAGGTTATTGACATGGGAGGCGAGGCAATTAGTGCTAGCGAATATTTTGGTGTTGGAAAAACAACAGAGTTTAGATATGGTGTAAAGCTTGCTGAATGTATTAGAAATGGATTCTTCAATTGTCTTGGAGGAATTTATGACCAGGTACAAATGATTGTGTGAGTTACGAAAAATGGGAAATTTGCATGAACCTGTAAAGCTTTAGATATTCCATATTTTCCTCAGGCATGGGGAATGGCTGATGGATTTCATGCTGTTGTTTTTGTGGACAATAATGCAACCAACGTGGACATAGTGGCCCAGGTGGAGTGCTTACTGCATCTGGACCTGGACACAATGACTGGCAATACAAAGTAGCCTCTGCCTTCATGTTGGCTCATGATTATGGGTTTAAGAGAGTAATGTCTAGCTACTACTTTGATGACTTTGACCAGGGACCACCAGAAGCCCAGCCTGGACCCCCAGGACAGACCTGCGGAAACGGTTGGACTTGTGAACATAGGTTGGAACAATTTGATATATTTATCATTAAAAAACTTACTGTTAAGTAGGGTTTCCCACACTAGTGGATTTTCCTTGCGCACAATCGTGAGCCCTGTAAACTCTGCTCAATACCTTACAATGCCTTGCAATTCAAGAACAGTTGCATGCAGTTCCCCACAGTGGCAGAAAGTTCCATGCAATGGAATTCTGATTGGAGACCCTAGAGTTAAGAACTCTTCTGGGCATAATCATTTTATTGTTATTCAGGTGGAGTAGTATTGTGAACATGGTTAAGTTTGCCAATGCAGTAGTTGGGACTGGAGTTGAAAACTGGCAGGCAGCTGGAGCATCCCTGGGATTCTCCAGGATCTGTATTAACCCAAACCAAAAAAGGCATTATTGGAGATGAGATAACTGACTCAAGCATTTTAACACAATTTTTAACAAAAAAGTTAAGTAAACAATACTTTTACCACTTAAAGATGCAATATAAACATTAGGTCAGTTCTCAAACTTTGTTAAGTACAACTCTTATCTTTCAAAAATACAAATATTGATGAAAACAGCTTTTATTTGCAAATTTTTTTATTTTTTTTAACTTGAATCAGTTTCAAATGATGTACTAATTCATAAAGAAAGGAAACAAAGAGGTAAAGTTTACCTCAGATGTACACAACCGACCACTCATATTAATTAATTAATATCAAGGGCAGTCAGTTGTATACATCTGAGGTAAGCTTTACCTCTTTGTATCCTTTCTCTATGTACTGATTACATTTCCGGTCATTATTTCATTGTAAAGAAAAAATCAAAAATCGGCCCATGATGTTGGATAAAAGTTTTCATAGAGTTAAGAAAGACACAGATTTAAGATTTCTGAATCAGAACAGATCAGTAACAAAACAAATAGAAAACTAGATGTCCTCTTTTCAATATTTAGGGTTTTTTTCATTCACAATAAGCCCATAGAAGTTATGATCCTGCTCTCTTTCTGTCTTGTCATTCAACAAAGCATGCGCTTAATTCTCCTTTGGGCTTCTGCCTAAAGGGCTGTTGTGAACTAAAAACCTCTAAATCTTGAAAAGACAACATCTATTGTTCCATCTGTATTGTTTTAAATATGTTTAGAGGAAACAAAGGTTTTGTTGCTATGGGTGATCTGAACAAGGAGTACTATACTGGCCTACCTGATGGAGAGTACTGTGATATTATTCATGATTGCCAGCAGAAAATCCGGGTATAATTTTAAAGTTATTCATGTTGGACCTCAGAACATGTATAACATTTTTGGAAAACATTAGGCTTCAAAGATTATCAAATGCATGTCATAGCTGTCCAGAGTCCAAATTTAATGAATTTGAGCATCTCAAATCCTCCAAAAACCGGTTTCAATTGAGCCACTGCTCAAATCTTAAAACATTGAATACAAGACTTTACATAGTGTATAATTTCAAGTGAACCTTAGTGCAAAGATGGCAATGCCCAATTTACAATGGAATTCTTAGAATCTGTATGAATTAAATAATACTATGATTTTGAAAACTGTTTATTTTCAATCGGAGTTTTTCTAAAAAAGTGAATTTCTACTGCAGGAAGACATATCAGAATTATTAAAAATAAACACTTTCAAACCTTTCAAACCACAATATCTTCCACATTGTTGATCAGATAAAGGTTTCAAGGGTACTTTTGTGAATAAGGTATTGCCATCATCATAAATTATGCTTAGACTCCCTTTAATCAGTTCCACATAGAGATGAGCATCATTTTTGTGAACGAACAACATTTTTTAGAATAAACAAATTTTTGGTTATTGGTGGTGTAGTTCAGAAAAACATGAACAACTTGGATTGTTCAGAGAAATGAAAAGAGGATAGGTTTTTTTTAAGCAAACTGTTTAAAATGCTCCAAACCATTAAAAAAACAAACAATAGTTTTTTACTAAACAAACGATTTTTCCAAACTAACTTTTAAAAACACTATTGTGTTTTAATAAAAGAAAAATTTCATTGAACAAACAATTTTATTGTGCCGAATGATTTCACTGTGAAATGGGTAGTGTACAAACAATGAACAAACTAAATGAAAAAATACTAAATGCACCCATCTCAAGTTCCAAAAATCCATCAATCCATTTGTTTACAGAAACAAACAATATAGATTTAAATTTCCTATTTTAGATAAGTGGGGGCAAGGGATACTTCAGCCCTGCTAATCCTGATGATCCCGTTGTTGCTATTTGTGTTGGATGCTAAATAAAGAAAAAATAAATTTAAAAATGTATTTATTGGAATAAATGATAATCTGATTTCTATACACACATTTTACAATTCATTTATATCTTTTAAATGAATTTTTGTCTATTTAAATTTAAATTTATGTTTAATATGGCAAACATAAATGTGTTTTTTATCTAATTTTATTAGAACAAAATTGTAAATTGTATGAAAGATTTATTAGTAGTTTCATAAATATACACACATAATTCATCTGAGCTGGGAACTTCAGAATGGATAACCTTTAATCTTAACTACCTAATTCGTATATCCACTGTGAAAACTTTCAATGACAGCCTTGAAAATAAATTCTATCCCATGAGAAAACAGATCATATTCAGCAAATATGTAACCAATCTGAAAACAAGGATCCCAGAGAAGCCTAAGTAACTTAGGTTTGCTCTTATTATTATTTGAATTAAATAATTTTTAATAGATTTGATTGATAATTATTATACATAATTATACGTAAAATAATTTTTATGTCCGTATCACATGATCACAACTCCCACCAATGGCAGTGCAGTATACTGAGCATGTGATACAGACGTATAAATTATTAAACAAATAATTTTGTATAATAATTATAAATTAAATCTATTTAAAAATGCAAAAAAAGAAGCTTGAGAGAGTTGTATCTAAATTGATACACATTTAAGAAGTATTGGAGTAAGGCATTTATTACAAACATTCAAAGTCATTTGTTATTGTACCACAAGAAATATGGAATAAACCTCAAAACTTATTTATTTGAGATAAACTACCACCGATCCTTTTCATCTTAAAATTAGAGATAATCAATGTGGAGGGCTAGGACTTTGAACGGAGAAATCACTTTGTTTTGAACCAGTTGAATGTATTTCAATCTTTATTCCACAAGATTTTTAATCACAAATCAAGATTAAAACTGCCAAGAATAAAGTTATCCTTGTGGGAAATATTTTTGTCGTCCAAACAGTTCTCTTTATGTTAATAAAAAGTATTTTAATCAAACAATAAGTGATATATTTTTAAAGATCAAGTCTGATCCAAATCTTAAAAGAATGTAAATGAAGTTATCTTAGTATAGATATGAACGTAAACTTATTTAATCATACAAGCCATATTGATATAGGGCTTTTCTTAGATACACTACTTGAAAATAGTTATAGGGCTTAACTTAGATACACTACTTGAAAATAGTTATAGGGCTTTACTTAGATACACTACTTGAAAATAGTTATAGGGCTTTACTTAGATACACTTTTAAAGGCATACACAAGGTGATTAAGCTTCTCTATGACTCACTCCAATGTGTTAAAACTGTTAGTCACAAAATATATTTCAAACCTGAAACAAGGATGATTTAATTACAATTTTTCTGGAGTTATAAAATGCGGGTATTTGTTTTAATAAAAAAAAATAGCAAATGATTAACTTTAAGAAACACAAATGGTAAAGGATACAGTTTAATATTTATTGAATGATAAGTTGATACTATTGAAATAAAGTTTCGAACATTGTTTGTTACTAATATTATGATTGTATTTGAAAGGGTAACTTACTATTAGGTCTTAACACACTCGAAATAGAGAGGTGATTGATTGTAGACTAAAACATAATTGTCTTCTGAAAATAATTGCTTGTTTAAAAAAAGAAGAAAGATTGTTTTCATTTGGAATTTTAACTTATTTCACTTTAACATGAGCGGTTTTGGTACACAATCAAGTATCAGAGTTGGGGGGGGGGGGGGTGTAGGACTCCGTCAGAGAAATAAATCCTTGGCAAACCTGGAAAAGACAACTTTCAAAGGCTATGGGGAGTTTAAAATGATTTTGTTCAACAACACTACTTGAAAATAGTTTTCTGCCACTAATAACTCTTCCGACAAGGAACCACTGCCACTCTTCTAGATCATTTTGTAACAAATATTACCTGATGATGCTAATGATTCAGGATTTATACTTTCTGAAATTTCTGATAATTTTCCAGTTTTTTCGTCATTTTAAAGACAAATTTGTGAGAGATGATTCTACAAAAACATTTCGAAAATTTGTTACTCCCTCTATTTCAAGGTTAAAAACAATGCTGGAAAATAAAAACTGGGACATTCTTCTAAACACTTATCAACAAACTTTTTTTAATGTTTTCTTTGAAACTATAGAAAACTATTTAAATTCTTCATTTCCTGACAATAAAAAAACATAATTTCTGCAAATAAGAGTAAACCACACAGTCCTTGAATTTCTGAAGCTTTATTTCCCTCCAGGAAAATTAAAAATAATTTTTTTTAATAAAAAATTGAGTAAACCATGTCCTGAGACTAAAATGAGTTTTAAAAAGTACAATACAGTGTAAACCCGACTAGTGAGGGTTAAAAGGAAAAAATATTATGATAACAAGTTTAAAGAATATATTAAAGATTGGAAAAAACTTGGCAAACAATAAATAGTGTTTTAGGGGGGCGCTAATCCATAAACATCCCTGATACCTTTGTGAACAATTTCCAATATGGGGCAGCTGAAATATCTGAAGGTTTCAATGCAAGGTACTTATGCAAGGAAAGTTATTTGAGAGGTGTACGCATTTTTTTCTACTGCAGTGTACTGTCTTTGGTCGGAAAAGTAAACACAAGACGGATGTCACAGCCTGACATGGAATCCATTTTTACAAAAATAATCGATGAAATATTCTGGTCATAGGAAACTATTGTGTGAATTATCAAAATTATTAAAATTAAATGCATTGTTCCTCCTCGGATACTAAACGAACACTGACGCATATATTATTGTTCACAAATTCCGCCCAGAGAGAACTGGTTTCAATATGTACGCAGCTAGTGTAAACAACCACAATTAACTTTCCTTGCATTAGTACCTTGGTTTCAATAAGTTTTTCTCTAGTATATAAGTCTTCAACTAGCCACAAATATCCCAAACTCAACAAAAAAGTTCTCCGATTATCTTTTAGAAAAAACTGATGAAAACTTTGTTTTTGAAAATATGACCCCTAATATCATGAATGATGCTCTAAGCAAATTAAAAAATAAGAACAGCTCCGGTCCAGATAACATTTCTATAAACCTATAAAAGTCGATAATGCCAAGTATCATGGGTCCTATCTGCCTTTTATTCTACTTGTCGTAAAACTGGTTATATTCCGGCCATCCTAAAAACTGCAAAAATCGTTTCAGTCTTTAAGACTGGAGAATCTGATAAATTAAAAAATTACAGACAAATTAGTTTACTTTCATCTTTTACAAAACTTCTAGAAAAAGTATCGGGAAATCAAATCATGAAATATTTGAACAAGTTTAAGACCGACTAAAAATCAATTATTAATACCGAAAAATAGTCACCATGTTAAAATTATTTAAGGGTTTTGTTCCTATTCCATTTGCTATTTGCAATCTTATTTTACCAGATATCTTTTAGTAAAATAATCAAAATAAATCATGATAGAATTAGAAAAGTAGGTTCAAATTTGTTTTAAATTCTATTAAAATAAAGGACATGTTTATGCGAATATAAGCACAGGGAGTATTTACATAAAACTCTAATTACTTTCCCTCATTTCCCATAAAACCTTGTTTTGCATAAATTCAAATGTTATTTCGTTTACAAATGTTAGTCAGAGCAAACATTTTAAAGATAAATTTTTAAAGAATTTATTTCGCAGGTTTAGATTGGATTATTTGATTTTATTTTGATCTTATGTTAAATTTGTTGGTTGGGATAGCGCTAAACACGATATTCAAAGCGCTTAAAGTTTTGAGCTAAATAGAATAAGTTTAATAATTTTATTTAGTCTGTTCCCGTCTGTTTCCGTAATATTTTATTGTGCAAAACCGTTTCCCGTATGATTTCCTGGAATTTCAATGCAAAGACGACAATTCGAAGAAATCTTGGAAAAAATATTTAAGAATAAAAATTATATTTAATGATGATAAAGAAATGATTGATCCTATCATTGATTTCATCACATCATCACAACGTCAATAATTTCATAATTTCATAAATCGATTCTTGAGAGTTGAGAGAAATGCAAGCCTCCAAAATGGAGCATCCTTGTGACGATTACAGAGCGAATTGACGCTTTAACTCAGTAATTATATACCACAATAACGTTTTATAGGTATCAAAATAAATCCTAAAAATTTTCTCTATAATCCTGCACTCTGAGTTCAACAACCATACCTAGCCAGTCTCTCCCTTTAAACTAAACCACCAGGGAACAGGAACCGAGTTGGTGCGTTATACCAGTTTAGATTTAAAAAGTTCAGGCCTCAGTATCTATTTGCTTTCCCCCGCCCCGTGGATCCAGGCCTAAATTACTATCAGGCTATGGCTCAACTTTGGGCAGCCTCGACTTATGGGCACTACTCTTCACAACACAACCAGTAGTTCTGGGTACCTTCGCTTGAGCAGAGAACTGTATTTTAATCTTTCAAATACAGTTTTTTCACAGGTTTGTTTTATCAGAAATAATGAAAGAAGTATTGCGAGGAAATCCTAAGTAACTTGTTCTTTATATAACTTAAGAAATAAAAATAATTCAGAGCTAGCTGTTGTATTGTAGATATCGAGATCAATGCTTGATCTCGATCTTTTGTTAATCTACAGATGATTTTTAAATTTATTCGATATTCCACATTTTTTTGTGCCCCCCCTATAAAAACCCCTGTCAACAGTATTCATTAGTTCAAAAACCTTATATCTTTCATACTTAGACTTTACTAAGTTTAGAACATTATGTTTATTGATTATAAATCAGAGGTTCAAAGGAGAAAGGTATTTGCCACAAATTCAAAATTATAATCTCTATATCTGTGCAACCTGATGTCGTAGATCTTTAATATTTCAAACTATGAATTCTGTTAGACCAAAAAGCCTCAGTTTGAATTATCAAAGTTTACACCATCAGGTTTCAAAGAAACAGGGATTAGAAAATTTATGTTTGTGGCAAAAAAATTTCTTATTTAAAAATTTTTTTCCTCGTTAAAATAATTTTCGCCCCCGAAATCATATATGTTTGCGCGGAGAAGAAAAAAATATGCAGAGTTTAATTTGGCTGAAGTTTTAGTATAAAGTAAAAAAAGGATTGAAACAAGAATTTCAACGTTAACGTTAGAGGAATATATCCCCAACGTTAGCGTTTTGTGGAAATGTAACGTTATTTTTCTAATATCTACAACTTTTTTTCGACCATAACTTAAAGAAATGTTTTGTTTCCAAGGGGAGCTTGAAAGTCTAACGTTTGAAAAATTAATTGTGATTTGATTGAATATCGTAACGAAAGGATTTATATTTCAAAGTTCAAAGTTTATTTTAATAATCAGGAAACGAAAGTTTTTTTTACAGAGTAAAATTTCAATAGTGAAACGTGTAACATTTTAAAAAATGTAATTCTGTAAATCAAAATGTTTCATAACTTTTCTCTGAATACTAAATTGATTAGTCTAACGTTAGATATATGTCTGATGAAAATATTGTTCATAAAACGTTAGACTATGAGGGCTGAGTTTTAATTTGAAAAGTGTAACAATAATTCTGATGATTATAAGAGCAAAGACTTATGGTTTTTCATTTCAAGTTTAAAGAAAATGAGTTTATGCCACAAACTCTAATTTTCATGTAATATATCTTTGCAACCCGATGTCGTAGACCATTAATATTGAAATATACAAGGTTTAAACCATCAGGTTGGAAAGATATAGGGATTAGTAAATTTGAAAAAAAAATCAAATCTTGGACATAAAAGGTTTGTGATTTGCCATTGTTTGATGAAACCCACTAATTCTCTGGAAAAGGAAGACGACATTAAGCAATTTTACATATGCATTTTCTGTAATAAAGCAAATGATTTACTAATTGCAAAAAAATCAAATTATTAATTGGAACGGGTCTATGAACAAACACAATTGCTGGGTTTCATGTTTATTTGACCACTTAAAATCATAACTTCAGTTGACGTGCAGGTGCATGTTTTAGGTTGAAAAATTTAGAAATGTAGATACTTACTAAATTGCAAGAATATTTTATCAAATGGAAAATGCGTGTTATGTTTTATTCATCAATAGATTTTTTTGAAACTTTAGAATAGAAAAAAAATAATTTTTTATTCGATTTCTTTTTAAAAGAAAAAAAAAGTTAAATAATTTTATTTCGCGTTGTTTGTGTTAAAAAAAATTTAGCACTTGTCTTACTAAATTTTATATTTTGTAACCCCAAACTTGAACTCTGAAAACATTTTCATTGTGGTCTGTAAACTAAAGCTAACGCCGCTTTTTTAATCACTTTGTAAGTAACATAAAAAACACACAAAAAAAACTAAAAATTCGCCACAAATTATAATTTTCTAATCTCTACATCTTTGCAAGCTGGTGTTGTAGACTTTTGATATTTCTAGCTATGACTTCTGTTAGATAAGAATGTCTAAAGGAATTGAGTTGTTCACAAACTTATATTTCTAATCCCTATATCTTTGCTACCCAATGTTGTAGACCTTAGATATTTTAAACTATGAATTCTGTTAGATAGAAGAAAAGGGTAAGTCTGCATTGCGTAAAAAAAAGAGAAAATTAACCTTAAACTAATCTAAAATAATTTAGAACTACTGTTCCACATGCCAAAGTGGTTTGCCTTGCCGAATTTTAACTCATTTTATGAAGTGTCCCAAAACATGTCTATTTTTTAAGCTCGTCAAATACACGATGATAATTTCAAGTGATCCTCCATTTAAAGAGGGCCATGATCGATTCCCAATGATAACGTGTATACTTTTATCTAATTGATGATTTGAAAATTAGGAGTGTTTTCTTATCTTGTAAATGTATACTGGACGTTAAGGGTGATAGATTTGTGACTTTTTTTAGAACTCAGCCAGTCTAAGGTCGCTGCGTTTTAAATTAATAAAAATATTGCAATCAAAAAAAAAAATTTCAAAATCGTCCATAGGGGTGCGAATTGACATGTTGGAGAAATCGCCGCAAGATCTAAAAAAATTTTCAAAAATAAATATGATACATCATTTTCTTGGAAATTTCATGCTGAATTCATATTCCAAAACCATTTTTAAAAATATTAAAATCTAAAGAAGTTATGGCCAAATAACGGTAATAAATTCCGGTTTTTAAACTTATTAATGTTTTTGATTAGTTTTTTGGCTCTGACTCACTCAATTTTCAATTTTTTAAAACGCTTTTCAGATTTGAATTTAGCATTGAATTTCCAAGAAAATAATTTTTTTGTGGCCTTACGGTGAAAACGCAGCGACTTCCGGTGGGCGGTTGGCTCTATTCCAATATTGATCACCCCTACTGGACATGCCACTCCATAAATGGAAGGTCACTT